CCAGCAAAGTCCTACTCCTTTAACCTCAGGGAACAATACTTCTTTTAATATTCATTCATTAAAGTGTGGGTGTTGCTGACGAGGACTTGTTGTCCATCCCCAGATAACCTTGAACTGAGCGGCTTGCCAAGCCATTTCAGACAGCAGTGAAGAGTCAATCACACTGCTGTGAGTCCGGAGTCACATGCAGGTCAGACCAGGTGAGGAAGGCAGATATCCCTCCCTAAAGAACATTAATGAACCAGATGGAGTTTTTTTGTAACAATTGCAATAGTTTTCACCTTTACTTAGACAAACTTTATATTCCAGATGAATTACCATGATCCACAGAGCATTAGCCTGGGTCTGTAGATTACTCGTGCAGTGAAATTACCATTATAATACAATCTCCCCTTATACAAAGGAGGTTTTCTTTAATTGTGACCTTTAAAGGTTCTTCAAAGAGGCATCAATTACAAAATACAGCATTTAAACATGGATTAAATCAATTCAAACTTGAACTTGAGGTTTTGTCAGCAGTATTTCTACAGCAGCATATTTCTGTTGCCTTCAAGCTACATTTAAACACAGGTTTTATTTTTGAAAAGCTGATGGTAAACTAGGCAATCTGACTTCAGTGTCAAGATTCATAATGCATCATGCTACAGAGCCTGAAAGGAGGTGGAGAGAAACTAGCATGAAGTGAGAAGTTGTTATTAGATGTCACTTAAAAAACTACGGGCTTTGTGTGTGGGAAATCGTATCTCACTAACTTATTTGAGTTTTTGAAGAAGTAACACAGAGGATTGATGAGGGCAGAGTGATGGACGTGATCTACATGGACTTCAATAAGGTGTTTAATGAGATTCTTCATGGTAGACTAGTTAGGTCACATGGAATGCAGGGAGAACTAGCGATTTGAATACAAAACTGGCTTGAAGGCAGAAGACAGAGGGTGGTGGTGGAGGGTTGCTTTTCAGACTGAAGACCTGTGACCAGCAGTGTGCCACAAGGATCTGTGCTGGGTCCACTGCTTTTTGTCATTTATACAAATGATTTGGATGTGGACATAGGAGGTATGTTTAATAAGTTTGCAGATGACACCAACATTGGTGGTGTAGTGGACAGTGAAGAAGGTTACCTCAGAATATAATGGGATCTTGATCAGATGGACCAATGGGCCGAGGAGTGGCAAATGGAGTTTAATTTAGATAAATGCGAGGAGCTGCATTTTGGAAAGGCAAATCAGGGCAGGACTTATACACTTAATGGTAGGGTACTGGGGAGAGTTGCTGAACAGAGAGACCTTGGAGTGCAGGTTCATTATTCTTTGAAAGTGGAGTTGCAGGTATATAGGATAGTGAAGAAGGTATTTGGTACGCTTGCCTTTATTAGTCAGAGTATAGGCATTGGGAGGCTATCTTGCGGCTGTACAGGACTTTGGTTCAGCCACTTTTGGAGTATTGCGTGCAACTCTGATCTCCCTGCTATAGGAAGGATGTTGTGAATCTTGAAAGGATTGAGAAAAGATTTACAAGAATGCTGCCAGGCTTGGAGGGTTTCAGCTATAGGAAGAGGCTGAATAGACTGGGGCTATTTTCCCTGGAACATCAGAGGCTGAGGGGTGACTTCATAGAGGTTTATAAATCATGAGGGGCATGGAGAGGGTAAACAGACAAGGTCTTTTTCCAAGGATAGGGGAGTCCAAAATTAAAGGGCATAGGTTAAAGGTGAGAGGGGAAAGATTTAAAAGGGATCTAAGGGGCAACTTTTTCACTCAGAGGGTGATGCATGTATGGAATGAACTGCTGAAGAAGTGGTGGAGGTTGGTACAATTACAACATTTAATAGGCATCTGGATATGAATAGGAAGAGTTTAGAGGGATATGGGCCAAATAATAGCAAATGGGACTAGATTTATTTAGAATATGTGGTCAGCATGGATGAGTTGGACTGAAGGGTCTGTTTCCATGCCATATACCTCTATGACTTTGACTTTTTGAAAAGAGGAGAACGGTGGAGTCACAAATTTCATTTTTGAAGGAAGCAGTAAATGAAATAAAAAGTGTGACAAATGTTTATGTTGAAAGTTGCCAACACCACAAAATTTGAAAGATGGACAATGCAAAAGCCAATTCTGACATTGCTTTTGTGATGAATTATGAATTAGGGTCTCTAGCTCAAAATCCATCACACCCTCTGATCTTTCGGCTTCACAGTGTTGTGCTTGTGTGTCTATCTCAGACCACAAAAGAAACGATAGCAAAGCCTTTGTACATCACTGCTTTGCATTCTGAAATTCACTTAATAACCTTCTTCTCATCAACTTCAAAACCTGATCATAACTTCACCTATCATCTCAAATCCAACTTGTACTTAGTGCCTGTTATCCACTTGACTCATTTCCTCCCATTGTGAAGCATATTTCAAAATAGTGAAGGTACTATAAAAATAAAATACAAGTTGTTGCTAACCTGCAACTCTGTTTTGCACACTGCAACAGTGACTGCACATCAAAAAGCATTTAATGGGTTGGAAAGCTCTTTGTGATGTCTGATAATCATGAAAAGTGCCACAGAAATGCAAGTCTTACATCTCTTTCTTTCTTTGACCTGTAAAAGGCATGACTAAAATAATACC